GGGGGACGTGGGATGGGATGGGATGGCGTCACGCTCCCCACCCGCCTTGCTCACCCCCCGTGTCCCTGTCCCACTCCCCAGGTGGAAGCAGTGATCAGCAAGCACCGAGCAGAGCTGCTGGCAGAGCGCTACCGCTTCAACATGGGGCTGCTGATGGGTGAGTGTGGGGCACCGGGGCAGCCCCTGCCTGGCAATCCTACTCCCCTGGATCCTGAGAGCCAGCCCTTTGCCGTGGGCTGCCTCGGACCTGGCTGCTGCGTGGCTGCGTCGCAGCCCACCCAACGCAGGGGAGACGTCCTGCCATGTCTCCTGCGTGGGCAGGGCTGTGGGTGGCATTCGCCTGTGGCGCCCGGTGCCAGGGACAGCCCTGGGCCAAGGGCTGCCTCCAGCTGCTGGCTGTGGTGTCCTGCATTAGCGGCCACGGCTAAAAGCTCCCAGGCTGGGCCATGCCTCTTGCCCACGGGGTGCCCTGTCTGCAGGGGAGGCACGGAGCCGGCTGCAGTGGGCGGACGGGAAGACCATCAAGAACGAGGTGGACCTGCAGGTGGGTGCGAGGGCGGCGGGTCAGGCACTGCGTGGTGTCCCCTGTCGGTGCTGTGCCCAGGATGGGACCAGCTAGCCTGCCCCATGGCAGGGCCCGGTGCTGGGGACAGCCTGCGCCAGGCAGGTGCAGGCAGGGTGAGGGGGGTGACAGCTGGATAGGGCCACCTCCAGGCCTTGGGGCACCGGGAGCCTTTTCTACTCCTGTCTGTGTCTGTCTGTCCCAGGTGCTGCATTTGCTGGGGCCAAAGACAGAAGCTGACCTGGAAAAGAAACCAAAGGTGATGCGGAGGGGGGAGGCTGGGAACTGGGATGGTATTCGCCTGCTGAATGTCTGGGCAGGAACCGAAATAGCTGCTCTTGGCCCACCCACCGCCATGGGCGTGGGTATGAGGGAGCACTGGGGACAGTGGCTGGGCCATGAGGGGAAGGTGTGTGCCGGGGCCAGGCACTCAGGGTGCCGTGCTGGTCCCTGCAGGTTGCGAAGGCCCGGCCAGCCCCGGCAGAGAAGCAGAAGGCGGCTGTGGTGGAGAACGGTAAGAGGCTGTCCTCCTGCGGGCAGCTTCCCCAGCCCTTCGGTTCCTGGCGGGGACCTGCGCCCCGGGAGCTGCCATCAGGCCCCTGCTCAGCCCCATCTCTCCCTGCAGGTGAGGTGGGCACGGAGACGCGGTCGCTGCTGGAGCAGCTGCGGGGAGAAGCCCTCAAGTTCCACA